TTCGGCAAATTGTACAGAAGTCCGAGGAGTACAATTTGTCACTATGTCTGGCGTATGTGGACTATGAGAAAGCCTTTGATTCCGTCGAAATTTGGGCGGTGCTGCAGTCCCTTCAGCGGTGCTAAGTTGACTATCGGTATATCAAGGTGCTGAAGTGCTTGTACAGTAGGGCTACGATGGCTATCCGAGTACAGAACTAGAGTACGAAACCTATCCAATTGCAGAGAGGTGTAAGACAGGGTGACGTCATATCCCCGAAACTCTTCACCGCTGCATTGGAAGATGTTTTCAAGCTTCTGGACTGGAAAGGATACGATATTAACATCAATGGTGAGTACATCACTCACCTTCGATTTGCCGACGATATAGTCCATATGGCAGAATCGCTGGAGGACTTAAGCACTATGCTCTATGATCTCAATAGTGTCTCCCAACGGATAGGTCTTAAGATGAACATGGACAAAACAAAGATCATGTTTAATGTCCATGTCACACCTATGCCGGTAGTTGTTGGGAGCACAAAGCTCGAAGTTGTTGACGAGTATGTTTACCGGGGACAAATAGTCCGACTAGGTAAGTCCAACTTCGACCGAGAGGTCAATCGACGGACTCGGTTGTGCAGCGTTTGGGAAATTACGGCACATCTTCTCGTCAGATATACCTCAAAACTTGAAAACGAAACTGTACAACCAGTGCGTGTTGCCAATGATTACTTATGGAACTGAGACGTGGTCCTTCACTGCTGGCCGGATGAAGAAGCTCAAGGGTGCTCAGCGAGCTATGGAGAGTTTCTCTGCGTGATAAACTTAGAAATGAGGATATCCGCAGTAGAACCAGAGTGGCCAACATAGCCCAACGGATTAGCAAGCTAAAGTGGCAATGGGTCGGGCATATAGCCCGAAGAATCGACAACCGATGAGGAAAAAAGGTTCTCGAGTGGCGGCCTCGTACCGGCGGACGAAGTATAGGGCGTTTCCCACTAAATGGAGTGACGACCTAGTAAGATATGGAGGAAGTCGATGGATACAGGTGGCTCAGGACCGTGCTTTGTAGCATTCTTTGGGGGAGGCCTATGTTCAGCAGTGGACTTGTGAAGGGTTGTAATGATGATGAATAAGGAATAATCAATAATATATAATAATTTTAATTCAAAGCAAAAACGCTTGTTTTGTTCCTTTTATGAAATCTTTACTCTTCATTGGGGCCCCCAACAAATTTTGATACAGGGCCCATCTAAGGCATGCTACGCCACTGAGTTACATACACACATAGTATGGATAGTGGGTTCAGTACCGAAAACAAAGTATCGATATCTCAGCGCTAGTTTCGTTTTGTTTACAAGATGGCTGGTAATTAATGCGAGATGTTTTTTCAAGCAATATCCCGAAAATAATGCTGTAGGCATGATCTGCGTGACAAATTAAGACAACTTTTGAAGTAAAACTTTGAAAAATACCAATTTAACCGTTTTTATGAGTAAAAATTTTGGCTCCTCTGGTGCCATAAGCCAGACAAAAGAAGATTGAGGGGTACGGAATCATTGACAAATTGCGCTTTTAAGAAAAGGTTTACAACCCCTGAAGTCTTTGAAATTTACGAAATATCGACAAACGAACGCTGTAGGTATGACCTACGTAACAAATTAAGACACTTTTGAGACGACAGAGTTTTATGAGTACAAATTTTGGCACCACACCGGTGCCATACGTATACGCAAAAGATTTCCATGGCGTCTCTCCAGCGCTATCCACACGGAATCGGTTAAAGCATTTTTGTGATCTTTCGGAGGCTTTCAACTTTCAACCACAGACTAATATGATGCTTACGCATCCTTCAACTGTTTTCATCACGATACCACAGAATAAATAATAATATGACGCTACAATCATTAGGAAACTACAAAATTATGTTGTTAAAATATTGTGCTCATACCTTAAAGATAAACAAACTGTTTATTTATACTCTTAAGACAGACTTTTTATTTCATTTTTATGTAACATAACGCAAATAGTAGATCAATGGATATTCCTCAGGACTAAATTCTAAGCCCACTCCTGTTCTTAATTTATATTAATGTCTGATCCTATCTTGTAGTGGACAATATAGTATTAGTACACACAGTAAAAACTTTTCTTTTAGAATGCTGGCCACAAAAAAGTTTATTGAATTCGAATTGTTCATGAAAATAAAACTGTATACTTTTTAGAATTTTACTCATTTTTAAATATGGAGTGGACGCTTAAAGAAGACCGTGTTGCAGTCATAGAACACTAATACCCTTAGGCGGGGTTGCAGTTATATATATAAATTTTTGACATACTGAAAAATTTAAATATAACCAAAAGATTCGTTTATCGTACCATCAAACGATACAATGAAGACTCTAGTGTAGATGACAGGTCAAGAAGTGGTCGCCCTCGGTCTGTTAGGACTCCAGCAGTGATAAAAGCTGTGAAAGCGCGAATTCAAAGAAATCCCAAACGTAAGCAGAAACTGTTGGCCCTTCAGATGGGGTTAAGCAGAACCACGGTGAAAAGTGTGTTAAATGAAGACTTAGGGCTACGGGCATATCGAAGAAAAACAGGACATCGTTTGAATGCTCGTCTAATGGACCTGAGACTAAAGAGATGCCGCGCTTTGTTGAAGCGGTACGCGGAAAAAAAATTTCGGGAAATTCTTTTTTCGGATGAAAAAAAATTTACCGTAGAAGAGAACTACAACAAACAAAATGATAAGGTGTACGCACACAGTAGTGAAGAAGCGAGCAACCGTATTCCGCGTGTCCAACGAGGTCATTTTCCATCCTCGCTCATGATATGGTTGGGAGTTTCTTCTTGGGGCTTAACAGAGGTACATTTTTGTGAGAAAGGTGTAAAAACGAATGCAGTTGTGTATCAAAATACAGTCCTGATGAACCTTGTGGAACCTGTTTCTCATACCATGTTCAATAACAGGCACTGGGTATTCCAACAAGATTCGGCGCCAGCACATAGAGCGAAGAGCACAAAGACTGGCTGGCGGCGCGTGATATCGACTTCATCCAGCACGAAGACTGGCCCTCCTCCAGTCCAGATTTGAATCCGTTAGATTACAAGATATGGCAACACTTGGAGGAAAAGACGTGCTTCAAGCCTCATCCCAATTTGGAGTCACTCAAGACATCCTTGATTAAGGCAGCCGCCGATATTGACATGGACCTCGTTCGTGCTGCGATAGACGACTGGCCGCGCAGTTTGAAGGCCTGTATTCAAAATCACGGAGGTCATTTTGAATAAACTTTAGTGTCATAAGAATCTATGTTTTGTTAGGTTCATTTTGGTATATAAATGGTTACATAATGAATAAAATTGTTTCAATTATTTTATATTAAACATGTGACAAAATTTATGACCTGACTAGGTAATTTTCAAGCTCAAACAGTAATTATTAAATTATGACGATGTGAATATTGCACTATAGAAATCAGTTCATACTTACATTGGTTTCACGTCAACAATTTGCGTTTAAATAGCAACAAAACAAATATATAAAACTTACAATACCTAATGTTTAATATTTTAGTATCGATGTGCACTTAAAAGCAGATGAAATGCTAATTGAAAATTTTGGCATAAAAATGGCTATTTTTCTTGGTATTACTCTTGATGCAAAGCTCCATTGGGACTAATTTCTAAAGCATATCGGTTTCTGATCGTGGGATTCCAAGTTCGATCCCAGGTCGGGCCTAATCAATTATTGTTTTTCTGTCAAGCGATTCGCAGTAGCAGCCCGGAATCAGGAAGTAAGCTGGGGGGGAATACCGCCACTTTATTACTCCGGTGCCTTGGTAAGGAGTATGGACGTATAGCCATTGGTCCTCTGCGCGGAATCTCTCTCTCCGAGACTGGAGAGTGAACCTGTGCTCGCGCATATACTCGTGCACTATAATCCTGTCCTGCGCACGTGGCTAATCTCCGTTGAGACTTGCCGCCGTGAGCGAAATTAGGTCTGGGGTATATTATTATCATACGCTGTAAGAAATTGAAATCTCACTAATATTGAAACATGCTACGTTGGTTTATTTTAGTTATTTTCATAGCATTATGTCATAAGGAATCGTGCTATGGGGAAACGCAACTGATATTGAAACTATATTTGTTTTGCAAGAGCAATTAAAAACGCTCAGCGAGCTATGGAGAGGGCTATGCTCGGGGTTTCTCTGCGTGATAAACTTAGAAATGAGTATATCCGCAGTAGAACCAAAGTAACCGACATAGCCCAACGGATTAGTAAGCTGAAGTGGCAGTGGGCCAGCCATATAGCTCGAAGAACCGATAACCGATGGGGAAGAAAGGTTCTCGAGTGGCAGCCTCGCACCGGTAGGCGAAGTGTAGGACGCCCTCCCACGAGATGGAGTGACGACCTGGTAAGACATGCAGGAAGTCGATGAATGCATGTGGCTCAGAACCGTGCTTTGTGGCATTCCTTGGGGGAGGCCTTTGTTCAGCAGTAGACTTGTGAAAGGCTGTAATGATGATGATGATGAATTAAAAACATAAATCTTAGATAACAATTTAAAGTAATGAATATATTAACTTTAGCCTCTCTACATATTTTAATCTCAGTTTATTTATTATTAATGTATGTACTAATTAAACATAATTAGCTTTGACATGAACAAGTATTCATACTTAAAATACTACTTTCTCTACTACTACTATTAGGTAGTACTCATTTTGTATATTATATTTTCTGGATTACCCTCATAAAATCCGTCTTGTCGCGTCGCAAAATTCACATTGCCTAACCAAATTTGGGTCTTGCCCCACCATTGTTCTAATTATAATATAAGCTATATGAAATAACAACTGACGTCTCGATAACGCATGCTGAGTGTCAATGGATGCAGGTGAAATAAGACCGTATCTTAACAATCTATCGTGAGGAAATGTGTGTGTCGAGTGCCATTTCTGTTACAGAAATATCGGGGCAAGTTTATTAGAGAATGAAAACGAACTACAAAGATATTATTGATTTATTTTAAATGTTTATAAAATTATATATATTTTAGTTAAACATACTTAACTAAAAACTAATAAAAGAAACCATTACATGTATGTTCTAGAGTGTACAGATATTTAAAAAATCTATTTAAATGGTATCCGTAATTCAAAAACGGCTTGTATTTGGCTTGCATGATATTTAACAAACTAATCAAATGATACATTTTAATATAATGATAGATTTTTTTGGATTGTTTTACCTATGGTTCATGAAACGGTTCAAGCGATTGGCGGATTATATTAAAATTCCTTTTTTTTACTGTTATATTTGGTTTTGAATATACTAGTAATGTTCTTAATATTAACATTACAAATTTTACCGCGTTAACAGCTACAAGTAAACTTCAAATGCTTATGTTAGCAGTAGTTAACGACAGTGGCGGATTCAAATACACGCTGCAGGCTCAGTCGTTTCTTAATTTTGTAACAATATATATTTACAATCTAAAATTTAATGAATTGTTATACTTATTTTATTTGAGATATTTATATTAGAGTTTTCGTCAACCCATTGATGATTACGCCTTAACCTGATGTATGTATAAAATCATAATACATACTCAAACTAACACCGAGAAATGATATGCTTCATTAACATGTGTGTGTACAATACTTAGTGTAAACAGAAACATGTATAAAAAGTGAAATGGTTTTTTTTTTTTTTTTTTTTTATAGGATCGGGTGACAAACGAGCACACAGTTCACCTGATGGTAAGTGGTTACTGTGACCCATAGACATCTACATCTATCCTCAATAAAGACTCAAGATGCAGATGCGTTGTCACCCGTGAGGACTAAGATGGAATGCCTCTTTGCCAGTAAAAAGGGTCTCCGGTTCTCTACACTCACCATACGAAACACAGCAGCGTTAAGCTGCTATTTTACGCTGGTTTTCTGTGAGAGCGTGGTTCTTCCCCGGTCGAGCCGACCCATTCGTGCTACAACCATAATATAGCTGCAGCATGGCTCTACCACGTATAAAAATTAAGTCTTGTGTAAAAATGGTGTGTTTTTAATTGACTTACGACTTGCTAAAAGCATATCATAGATGTAAACGCTTTAATTTCTTAATACACATAGCACATTTATATTGCTACGATCAACATTAACTGCGTTTAACTAATATAGCTTTAGTAATAAGTAAAAATCCTAAAACACTAAAAGTCTCATTACAAAAGGTATCATTAGTTTCAGGTTTAAACTAGAGTCTGTTTCAAGAGAGAAGCCCAGTGGAAATTAAGCAAATTAAATATAAAGTTTACAATTTGGCAGCAAATGCCAAATTCGGCAGACTGCGATGCTGCGGCTAAGAGACTTATTTCGTGAGAAAGACTTTAAACTAGACTATCAAAGAAAATTTACAATATATTGAAGATGGGACAGATTAAGAGTATCCTTAATCGACGAGCATGTATGCGAAGGTAAATGTAAAGAAGACGTGATGTGTGTCAAAATTATGTCAAATAGAAGTCCGTAGTCTCTGCTTACCCCTCTGGGTGGCAGGCGTGAGTGTTTATGTATGTACCATCAACAAATCACATATAGTGATAATACCGTGACGTGGTTTATTGAAGTTTCGGATTTAACAATTTGTCACGAATGAGGTCCCTTAACCGCGGCACTGTCTCTGTATTATTGGCGGCGTCGTGAAGTTCACATTTTAATTCGACGTCGCGTCGTTCTTAAAACAGACTTTAGTTTAAACCAGTTTAATTATCAACTAATTTTTGTTATAAGATGGTATGGGACCATTACAGTTACATACTAGTAAAAGTAAAGATTGGTCACAAGGATATTGTTTTACTAGAATTCATTAAAACTTGAAAATTATTTAAAAATGAAAATGTGTTAATTAGAGAGATATAGTTACAATATTTAGATAAATTACCTCTCACGATATATTTTTTCTTTATATTTTTGATAAGCGCAAACAAGTAAATACGGCAGTGTTTAAATGCCCATTGTCGATTTTCCCCTAAGACTTAATTTTTAAGATAAATTGTTTAAAATGTTACTTTTTTAACATTAATATTTGGTTTATTATAAACATTAATTAATAGACATAACCTAATTCAGTTCATGGGATTTTTTTAATGATGTCCAATTTACTTTGTAATATATAAGTTAAAGTTGGTTTCATTTTACTTAGAATTTAATTAACTATATAACGTAACATATACATAAAACGGTATAAAAATATTTGCATTTTACCAGCAAATTGAGCGAGCATTCAATGAGTATCGTTACTACACTTACGTTTCTTACGCAAATTGAGCTTAGCATCATATATATTCTAGGCCAATATAATATTTTAAATATCACAATTACATAACACACAGATAGTTGGAAATTGATAGAGATCTCGACATGATTTTGTAAATGGTGTCCAGAAGCGAATATTTAATAAAACAAATAAAAATAAATATCTTAACGACGTAACCGGTTGTTATTTAAATAAAGACAAGGAACTAGAAGGTAGTTTAGCAAAGTTAATGCATGTAACCAATAAGCTTAATAATCTTTTATATCTAAGCGTTGAAACATTGCTTTAGAAACCGATGAATTCTCGTATAACTTTTTATTAAGATATATTTATAAATATAATCTGCATTATAGCCTACATAATTTATGTCTGTTTACAATTCACTTCTAGCAAATCAAATACCACTTTTCTTACCAATGTTTTTTTTTAACTATTAGTGAGGACCTTTAATTTGCTTACTGTAGTTAATAGTATTATCTATCCTACTTATGGTAGCTGATGGCCTTGCAAATAAAAAAAAAACTTAACAGATCATGGCAAGGTATCGCTGGCAATGAACATCAGAATTCACTTACAAGAGTGGTATCGCTTAGTACTCTAAGTGAATTATTATTCACGTAGTGTATCCATGGTCACGGCACCAAAGTAGCACAGTCTTATAGAATAATTATTTGTAATACTAATTCATGAATGAATTTTATTTAAATCAAAACAAAACATCCCCTCCTGGACACGCTGTATAATCGATATATGCTGATACAATTAATACATAACTAGAAAATAGAACAAGTAAATTAACATTTTTTTTAAAACAAGTAATCAAAGCTTAAACTTAAAGAGGAAGTCTAAAAACACTAAGTCTTATATTAATAAAAAAAATGATTGTCCTTCAAAATCCATTATAACTTTTTGTAGAAAGACTATAACTGGCACAAATATTAAATAAGAGAAAATACAGTCAAATTAACTTCCTTTTATGAAGTCATTTAAAATGTTTAATTAAATGAAGTAATATAATATCTAGATTTAAATTTTATTGCTTTTCTATCTAATTCACAAATGTATTATATCTAAATCGCAGACACTAAATGATTATGAATTAAGCATAGCTAAAATTAATACCAAAAAAACGCTAATGAGACTATAAAATGTTTAATAAATCATATATACGCACAGCTTATATCTAATAAGATTATATATATATATATATCCCTGATTTCTTTATGCTGTGATGGAACCAGCAATATTACCTTCATGCTTCTTGCTCCATTCTATCTGCTTCAGCATTCACCACACCCGGTTCCTCTTGTGGTACAGGAACAGTTGCATTATTTCCACGAAGGGGCCAGCATTCTGGCAACGCACCGTTATATTTAAACATGCCTAAAATTAGTATCGCGAAGCCTACGAGGTGTTGCCAGTGGAATGCTTGCCAACCAACCGCCAGTGATACCATCCAAATGACGAACGTTCTGTGGAAATAAAAGAAGTCAAATATTATGTTTAAATAAGTTAATTAAATTTGGAGCCCCTTTACACATCCCACTTCTGGGCACTGCGCCTCCTCTCATTTCTAAGAGGATTTTAATTCAAGAAAGTGTCCGTCTCACTGCCCCATAGAGTGTTGGCTATTTTTTTAATTTCGCTGGCATGTTGTAAATGAGGTGTGATATTTGATACTTATAAATAAAACATTGAAGGTTTGTCGTGGCCATGCGATCCACACATACCCAATAACAAATGTACTTCTTAATAATAATGTTATTTTAAATGTAGTGATTTTTTTTATTTATTTCTTCTTCTGTTGTCTGGAAGAGATTTATAGCAAGAAGACCGCTCTTTGTATTTCCCTCAATAGTTGTTTATTTTTTTTTTGTTATTTTAATATTTTCTTGGAGTACAATAAACAGTAAGTATATAAATAATATTAAATGCAATAGAAATAGGGTGTAAAATGGTAATGAACTATTTCTACAAGTGTAGTTTCACTTGTGTCTGTATCTACTTGGTAGAACCAAGCTGCAGCTATATTATGGTTATAGCAAGAATGGGTCGGCTCGACCGGGGTAGTACCACGCTCTCACAGAATAACAGTGTAAAATAGCAGCTTAATGGTGCTGTGTTTCGTATGGTGGGTGTAGATAACCGGAGACCCTTTATACTAGAAACGAGGCCATCTTAGTCCTTAGGGGAGGTGTAACAATGCATCTGCATTGTAACCTCTCCCCTAAAGGTAGATGTCTATAAGCCACCACATACACTTACCATCAGGTGGACTGTGTGCTCGTTTGTCACCCTCCTGAAACCTGTAAGTGGTGCACCCAGCTAACTAACCAACGACGCTTTGGCGACTGATTTTGGTAGAAAAAAATTGACTCGGTATAAATTCATTCATTTATATTGACACCAAATCCTAGAGGTGGATGCATGACCAGTGCGAGGGTATCGGCTGTGTCTCACCAACCAGCTTATTCAACGTTTCATTTGTTATTTTTGCTGCACATTACAAGTATTCTGAGTAGTTCTAACTGTGGTAACGACTAGGAAGAATCAACTCCCAACCTCCAAAAAACACAAATAAGTTTCATTTGTTATTATATGTGGTTCCTACCTTTGATCCACCTGGATAGGTAGTAGTATAAAAACTGTAATATACCGAGTTAGGACTACGCTCTCACACAATAACAGCGTACAATAGCGTACATCTAGAAAAGGCCTATGATAGAGTGGTGAGGAGTGAATTGTGGTCAGCACTGTCCGTGAACGGTGTGAGCAGTATCCTCATACGAGCATTGCAATCTCTTTATAAGGATTCTAGTGCTTGTGTAAGGATAAACGAGGCATTCACTGAATGGTTTAATATCGAAAAAGGTGTTAGACAGGGATATGTAGCGTCACCGTGGCTGTTTAATCTGTTCATGGACAATTGCTTGACAGATTTAAAAGAGAATGAAAGTGGGTTGAGAATGAATGAGTTACTCGTCAAATGTTTTCTCTATGCTGATGACCAAGTATTACTTGCGTCTTCGGCAGAGGAGTTGTAGGAGATGGTAACTGCTATGTGTGGAACTTTTGTTAGAAAGGGAATGAAGATGAATGTAAAGAAGACGAAAGTGATGGTGTTTGAAAGAAATGAGGCAGTGACAGACTGCAATATTGTGATTGAAGATGTACAAATTAAACATGTGAAGGAGTTTGTGTATCTGGGTTCAAAGTTGTGAATGCAGGAAACATGGTGAATGGAGCTTTGTACTCCTTTATGAGCAGTCGGAAGGTGTCGAACAAGGCTCGTTTGGATGTGCAGGAGGGGGTGTTGGTTCCGACACTCATATACGGAAGTGAAAGTTGGGTATGGCAGAAAAAATATGAAAGCAGAATAAATGCAGTTGAGATGAGATTATTAAGAAGTATGATAGGAGTTAAGGTAAGTGACAGGATAAGAAATAGTGAGATAAGGAAATGTTTTGGTCTGAAAGAAGATGTAGAGACAAAAATTGAGAAAGATATGCTGAGATGGTTTGGCCATGTCGAGAGAATGAATGAAGAACGATTGACGAAAAAAGTGTACAAGGAAAGTGTTGGAATGGGTAGACCTAGGCGGACGTTTCTAGACCAAATCAGGGACGTCTTGAAAAAAGGCCAGGTCAAGAGTACCCTAAACCGAAGAGCATGTATGAAGGGAATAATGAAAGTGGACGAAGCGAAACAAGTATGTATGGATCGTTAACACCGCTTTCATGTTTTATCCACTGAACTATATTATAAATTATAACATAGTTTATTTGCAAAATACGTAGTTATAAATTATAATAAAAGGCCATCAAAGGGGCGTCGATGTGGTGCTAGCCTAGAGCTCTGTCGACATTTAATCCGCCTCTGGCTACAGTAACTACACTCTAAGAGATGGATTGTTATCTCATTTATCTCTATTAAAAAAATATGATTAAAAAGCACCTTACCTTATAGAATCTAGCACCATTCTTGTAGTCGCCGACATTTCTTTGGTAACACTTATTCCAGCGAAGTTAAAGAAAGCAATAGATATTATTGTTCCTATCACTGCCATGAGTAGAAGTGGATTGTTGCCTGATTATTAAAAAATATAGTTTCTTAATTACAATGTAATACGATTAAAGACTTGATTAAGTCATAAAAGGAAGAGAAGTTAAAAAATATTGTATACTATATATTTTATACTTTGAGTTCACCTAGTAGTACCCAGAGATACAAATTGCATTAACAGAAATTATGCCCAAATACTAAAAGTTACTAATAAGCAATACTAACTAACACTAGTTAATATGATGATGAGGATTCCTTATATAACAGCAGAACACTAATAAGTAATAACAAGGTACACTAAATACACACTAAATATATAAATTTACAGCCTATATGCATAAGTCCCACTGCTGGGCATAGGCCTCTTCTCATTCCTGAGAGGGTTTTAGGGCAAGGAAATGTCTGCCGCGCTGCCAAAATGCGTGGTGTTGACGAACTCATCCGGTACCTTGAGGATCACCAGCTGATTAGTGACCACCAATACGGTTTTCGTCGGGGTCGATCAGCTTGTGATCTTCTGGTCTACCTGACCCATAGATGGGCGGAGGCAGTAGAGTCCAAGGGGGAGGCGTTGGCCGTTAGTCTGGACATTGCGAAGGCCTTCGATCGGGTTTGGCACAAAGCGCTTCTTTCGAAGCTCCCTTCCTATGGGCTTCCCGAGAATTGGCAATTGGATCACCAGCTTCCTTGCAGATCGGAGCATCAAGGTTGTTGTAGAGGGTGCATGTTCTGACTACAAGCCTATTAACGCTGGTGTTCCACAAGGCTGTGTGCTATCACCAACGCTGTTTCTTCTGCATATCAATGATATGTTGCTAACTGGTAACATTCATTGCTATGCGGACGACAGCACTGGTGATGCTCTATACACCGGCCGTGCCAATATTTCTCGGGAAAACGTCGCCGAGTACCGGAACAAACTTGTGTCTGAAGTCGAGTCTTTGCTCAACAAAGTTTCGGATTGGGGGCGACTAAATCTAGTCCAGTTTAATCCTCAGAAAACACAACTTTGCGCGTTTACCGCTAAAAAGAACCCCTTTGTAGTATCTCCTCAGTTTCAAGGCACTCCCCTTCTTGCCTCAGCCAGTATCGGTATCCTCGGAGTCGACATATCGAGTGACGTGCAGTTTCGTGGTCACTTGGAAGAGAAGGCCAAATTGGCCTCTAAAAAGCTTGGCGTGCTCAGCAGAGCGGGACAGTATTTCATTCCGGCACACCGCCTGCAACTTTACAAAGCGCAGGTTCGGCCTCACATGGAATACTGTTCCCATCTCTGGGCAGGGGCTCCCCAGTGCCAGCTCCTTCCACTTGACCGCATCCAGCGCAGAGCGGCTCGAATCGTCGACAACCGAGCTCTTTCCGATCGGCTCGATTCATTGGCACTGCGAAGAGATGTTGCATCCCTTTGCATTTTCTTTCGCATCTACCATGGGGAGTGCTCTGAGGAATTGTTCGGATTAATCCCAGCCGCCAAATTTCACGAACGCACATCGCGGCAGAACTCCCGATACCATCCACACCATCTGGATGATTGGCGGTCCACCATTGTGCGATTTAGAAGATGTTTTCTTCCTCGCACGACTTCCTTGTGGAATCGATTACCATCAGCGATTTTTCCGGACCGATACGACTTAGGGACCTTCAAGAAAAGAGCGTACTCCTTTTTAAAAGGCCGGCAACGCATCTGCAATTCCCTCCCTGGTGTTGCAGTTGTTCATGGGCGGCGGTAGTCACTTACCATCAGGTGAGCCGCATGCTCGTTTGCCCCCTCTCCTATATAAAAAAAAACTTCACGTGTCTTCGAAATATTTCTTTTCTTTATTTCTCAGATATGTATGTTTCCTCACGATGTTTACCTTTACCGCCGAGCACGTGGTAAATCAACACTTAAAATTGCAATTAAATATTTCATTGGTGCCGGCGGGGATTGAATCCGCGTTGCTCGTGTACTGTGCAATTTGTAGCGAGCGCTAACGCTAACCATCTGAGCTACCTACGGCTCACAATATATATACACTCAATTTATTTTAAATTATCCCAAATTGAATGTGATTTATGGGCGAAAAACCTTCTCTGCAAATTTGGCCGGTTATTGCAAAATAACCTTGTATATATGTATTTATATATCATATACTAGAATGGTAATTGATTTTACGTTTTGTTATAGTTCCAAGTAAAGTTATGTATGGCAAATTAATAATCGACAATTTTGTAATAACTAGTTATAAGCGTTTTCGTTATCCTACCAAGAACTTTAGATAATAACTCCTATCTAATAATTACATTTTTTATATACAATGTTTTGTAGTATTTTAATACTTATTGCTTAAATGTTTTATAGTAAACGCCTGCAAAAAAGTTAGCAAGTGATAAGTACCATGTATGTATATGTATAATTCATATTAAGATACCACAGTACACGTACTTAGTGGGTAAAAAATATTTGAATACTATGAGTCTACAGATATTAAAATTTACCATTAGCTGGGTTGTGTTTTAGTTTTACATTTATCGATGCATAATATATACGTACCAATTTGTATTAAGCCATCAATCGCGTCTTCCACAGTGCCTCGGGGATTATTTCCGAAGTGGCTCGGTGCAGGTACCCAGTAAAATATCACCAGCAGTAGTGAAAGAACGGAGAAACCAAATATTCCCTCCCAGCCAACTGCTTGCATTGATGGGATGTTTAAGCCTGCAATCAATAATAATCAAACTTTTTTTTAATAATAATACTTTTTTTTATTTCCTTTGCTAGAAAGATAAATTAATATGACATGTGAATTTAAATATAACAACAAAATATACTAACATAATATTATGGTTTAATGTCTAATTTACAAAATTTATAATGATATGTGGTCTGTTCACAGGCTAATGATGATTATGGTGATGATGATGGTGATTATGATGATGATGGTGGTGATGATGATGATAATTGATTAGTGTGACTAACTGCCCCTCAATGAAATATAATTACAAAGCAAAAGGAAGAAATCACTTTTAGAGTGCTTCATTCATTGCTTCTTGGTGTAAAATAAAGAATAAATTAGGATATAATTACGTTTCCTGAATTAATTTCACAATCTTGATAAATATATAATTTTTTTTTATATTTAGTTTTTACAATTAATTTAAGTGGTAGTGCCATGCTGCAGCTATATTAGTAGTATAGTTGTAGCACGAATGGGTCGACTCGCCCGGGGAAGGACCACGCTCTCACAGAATACCAGCGTAAAATAGCAGCTTAATGCTGCTGTGTTTCGTATGGTGAGTGTAGAGAACCGGACCCTTTTTACTCGAAAAGAGGCATTCCATATTAGTCCTTACGGGTGACAACGCATCTGCATTTTGATTCTTAATTGAGGATAAATGTAGATGTCTATGGGCCACAGCAACCACTTAACATCAGGTGGACTGTGTGCTCGTTTGTCACCCTATCCTATAAAATAATATTAATAATAATAATAATAATTGGGATTGAGGAAATTCAATGTAAATGTAACTTTTTATCTAAGCTACATTTCTAGCATTAGTATTTTGTTTGCTACTTGCCTTATTTCTTTATTTTATCTTATTAGGTTATGATTCATTACCTGCAACATATTTTTCTTCATATACCATTTGGCAAGCAGAAACAACCTGGGCTACAATGATTAACATATCGCCAGTTATAAGGCTGTTCCTTCCTTTAGCCTCGCCTGGAGATTGGTATATGGCATCCGTAGCTCCAACTATTACAAGACCCAAAAGCACTCCAACTGAAAATAAATAGTTTTTATTGGTTTTCTTATAGTTGTGTCATAGTTGTTGTTATAGTTGTGTGCGTGCGAGTTTGTGTGTGTTTTGATGTAATTTTATTTGAGGAATGTACAAGATGAACGTAAAAAAGTTTGCCTTGGAATCAGGACGCGTTAATTAAGTATGATTTGATTTATATCACCCAATAAAATACGGAAGGGTCTCTATATTGTAGCCTGCAAGATTAAATCCATTGTAGCTCAGTAAGTTCTGAAAATTCGCTAACAATTTCCTGTTCTGAAGTATAAGAGGTAAATTACGAGGTATGCTTGACTCAATTATATATCACTGCTTTGGTAAAAATATATGTTAGCAATGGAAAAATATGTCTGTTTACTCGTGAGTTCCATACGGAACCGTCATAATAGCAGCACCGCACCAGTGTTTCTATAGCTGAATGCTGTAACAGTGACCTAATTATCACTACCTGCTACCCAAGTATTGTACTATAGCTTTAAGGTCTCTGCCCACTACACCTTATCATACCATGACCGTGCCAGGAGCGTATCAGGCATGAAAAGCAACACGATACGCTCTACTATGCCCACTGAACGGATCGACGGCGTTCTGTGCCCGTATACATCCAGTATGATGCCAGTATGCAACCCGTATGATGCCCGTATGCAACATCCACCAAAACCAATAGGAATCCGTTTCATTCTCGCATGCGTAACAGTGTTGCGTGGACGTCTTGGAGTGCTAACAAATTTTTAAACTGTAAACTAGGTATGGCTATCAGAAAATTAACTGGTAGACTACTGGCGATGATTGCTTTAATATTGGATGAGGAAGAAGAAGAAAACAAAAAATCACCACGCCTATATAACGGTCATCATACGCGTTTACAACCCGTATACTCGCCTGTTTGCCGCCTGTGCGCAGCGTCTTGGCAACGTCGCGTGTCAGCACCGGCAAAATATTCTCGCCGACATTTGTTGACGCTCCGTGCATGTCACGCGACGGTGTTGGCCGGTGACGGAACGGTCTAGTGCAGGGGTTTTCAAAGTGGGGGGCGCGCCACCCAATGGGGGCGCAGAGACCAGCAAAGGGGGGCGCGGGCCCCCTCCCTAATTAAGAACCTTACGATCAAGAAACGGCTTTATGTACACAGCTACTGCAAGTACTTACTCAACGCACTAATCGCAGCGAGTGGTCAGGTCGAAGTTCCGACGATTCGCTTGTCTATTATTTATTCTGTGCTTGTGCGTGCATCCCTCCCCCGCACGCATTGCTGTCGCATAAGCGCAACTCACAGTCACTCAGACTGTGACTTGTCAATTTATTTTTATTTCAACGAGATGAACTCGATAAAAATCGCAAATACAATGAAGATTATATTAAATACGGTTTTGTTTGCATAAGTAAAAATGGTGGCGATCATCCACAGTGCATTATCTGTTACGAAGTTTTGAGCAATGATGCTCTGAGACCGACTCGTCTGGAGCAACATTTATTGACTAAACACAGTGATTTGAAGGACAAACCGAAAGAGTTTTATAATGTAAAATCTGGAAGTTTAAAATGAATGAAGTTAGGGTTACTACTGGTTATTTTGCCGAGTCAAACCAAAAACTACTTGAAGCTGCGTACGAATTATCGTTGCTTATCGTAAAGGGAAAAAAGCCTTATTATTGGAGAAACACTCGTCAAACCGTGTATGTTGCAAGCCGCCGACATCGTTCTTGGACCAGAAAGTAAGCAAAAATTGCAACAAATTCCACTTTAGGTTTTTAGGTTTCTGAGGATTCTGAAACCAAGAGAAAAATATCAAATAATTTGCAGCGCCTTACTGATGAGTTCAACCACTACTTTCCTACCTCGTGTGATGATGATGTTTATCGATTGGCGACCGATCCATTCCATGTTATGGAATGGATCGGTCGCCAATCGATTCAGCCATAAGGACTATATCGTCGGCAAATCGAAGGTGAGTGATGTACTCGCCATTGATGTTAATACCGTATCCTTTCCAGTCCAGAAGCTTGAAAACGTCTTCCAATGCAGCGGTGAAGTTTCGGGGATATAACATCACCCTGTTTTACACCTCTCTGCAAATGGATAGGTTTCGTACTCTGGTTCTGTACTCGGATAGCCATCGTAGCTCTACTGTACAAACACTTCAGCACTTCGATATACCGACAGTCAACTGGGCACCGCTGTAGGGACTGCAGCACCGCCCAAATTTCGACGGAATCAAAGGCTTTCTCATAGTCCACATACGCAAGGCAAAGTGGCAAATTGTAATCTTCGGACTTCTGTACAATTTGCCGAAGGGTATGTATATGGTCTATGGTGCTAAAGCCCTTTCGGAAACCGACTTGTTCGGGAGGCTGGAAGTCGTCAAGACTGCGCGCGAGACGATTCGTAATGATTCTCGAAAACAGCACGTAGACGCGGCTCAGAAGGGAAATCGGTCTGTAGTTCTTCAAAAGGGCGTTGTCACCTTTCTTGAAGAACAAGACCACCGCACTTCTGCTCCACGCCTCCGGTGTAATGCCACCACAATGGAGAACGGAATTAAAGAGCTTCTGAAGGACTTCAAGTACCGGTCTTCCACCCGCTTTCAGAAGCTCCGCTGTAACGCCTGCTGTGTCGCCTGGGGCCATTCTAATCTCGCTCAGATCGACATCCGGGATATCTTCGGAATAGTGTCGTATAAGACTCGCTCTTGAATCGTTACTCACACTTGCGTGTGGCTCCAACGATGACGTGTACAGCTGCCCATAGAACCTCTCAATCTCACTCAAAATCTCAGGTGTTACGGAAACGATGCTGCCACACTCGGTCTTCAGCTTTGACAGTTGGCTCTTTCTGGCAGACAGATCTCTGGCAAAGACTTTGGAGCCTTGGTTCCGCTCGATCGCTTCTTCAATACAAGCTGTATAGAAGTTGCGTAAGTCCCGCCGCATGCATTTGGAGATCTGTCTGTTCAGTTGCCTGTATGCTGTCAAATCTGTTGAAGAGTGTAGCTTCATCTCCCGTCTAACAGCCATGAGATTGAGAGTGTGATCGGAGAGTTTTTGTGTTCTTCTGCGGCGAGTCTTGCAGAACTTAGCTCCGACCGCATGGACAGTTTCCACGAGCTTGTCATTCATATCGTCCACTTCATTGCAGTCTTCTAGGTACTGAAAACGGTTTTGTAACTCGAGCTGAAAGGTTTCGCGACTCTGGAACAGAGCACGAGGGGGACGGAGCGTTGACTTCATTAGACGAGACCTCTCCAACTTAACGTTTAGGTTCAGTGTGCCTCTAACCATTCGGTGATCGCTACCAGTTTTCACCCTCGCTATTATGGAGACATCACTGAACAGTTGTAGTCTGGTCGTCATAATGAAGTCAATCTTATTTTTTGTGGAACCGTCGGGGCTCGACCAGGTCCACTTCCTGTGGGGCCGCTTCTGGAAGAAAGAGTTCATCATAAAGAGTCCCTCTTTCTCCATAAAGTCGGCTAAGCTGCTGGCCCCTTGGGTTCCGTTGCCCTATTCCAAATTTCCCTACTTTCAGCTCACCGTTTTCTCTTGTGCCTAGTTTTGCATTGAAGTCTCCCATTAACACCGTATAGTGGGTTTTGGAGGAATGCATGGCCCTAGAGATATCCTCATACATTTCCTTCACATCCTTATTGGGATGTGCCGAGCTTGGTGCGTAAACCTGTATGACCTTCAGCGAATACCGTTTGGTGATTCTGAGTATAAGGTACGCCACCCTCGTCGACACACTCTCAATCTTTACAACGTTGTTAACGAGAGACTTGTGGACGATAAATCCGACACCTCCTTGAGACAGATGGTCGCCCTCCCGGTGATAGAGCAAGTTGCCGGATTCGAAGATTACCGTGTCCTCCCCCTCTCTTCGGACTTCGGATAATCCTATAATATGCCAGCGTAACTTGTCTATTTCTTCACCTAGCTCCACGATCTTCTCGTCAGACCTCAGGGTGCGTGCGTTGTATGTTGCCAGGTCGAGTCGTCTTAAGTGGTAACCGAACCTCCACTGGAGATTCTTAGCACCCCCTGCCCCGCCGTTACCATGGTCACCACCGTAGCCAGGAATAGCGGGGCCGCCGGGGAATGGGGGCCGTCTCATTATTACATTCATAGAGGGGTATTTGCCATAGTTTCTACGATTGGCGAGCGGGTTGGCAACCGCAGTTTTTTTTATTGTATTTTTGCTGTTATCAGTAAGATGCTGCTGCCCATCTCCTGTCTGTTTCCCTTTGTCGCCTTTTACGACACCCACGGGAAGATATGGGGTAGTGGATATTCTTAACCGCCACTACACGGTATTTACAATAACTCTACCTTAAATTTCTTTTTTATGTTATTTTTTTTGTTTATGTAAAATTTGTACAGTTTTGTTTGTCTAAATTTAGATTATAATTAAATCAAGTCCAAATAATATCGATTCGCAATTTTTATAAGTTTCATAATTTATATTATAGACAATGAAATCCAGATACACAAACTCTTTTGTGTATCTGGGTTCGTTTGTGTATCTGGGTTCAAAGTTTACAAGAGATGGAAAGTGTGAGAGTGATATCGAAAGAAGTGTGAATGCAGGAAACATGGTGAATGGAGCTTTGCACTCCTTTATGAGCAGTCGGAAGGTGTCTAACAAGGCTCGTTTGGCTGTGGATGAGGGGGTGTTGGTTCCGACACTCATGTACGGAAGTGAAACTTGGGTATGGCAGAAGAAACATGAAAGCAGAATAAATGCAGTTGAGATGAGAGCATTAAGAAGTATGATAGGAGTTAAACTGAGTGACAGGCTAAGAAATAGTGAGATAAGGAAACGTTGTGGTCTGAAAGAAGATGTAGTGACAAAAATTGAGAAAGGTATGCTGAGATGGTTTGGCCATGTCGAGAGAATGAATGAAGAACGATTGACGAAAAAAGTGTATAAGGCGAGTGTGAATGAAAGTATTGGAAGGGGTAGACCTAGGCGGACATTTCTAGACCAAATCAGGGACGTCTTGAAAAAAGGCCAGGTCAAGAGTACCCTAAACCGTAGAGCATGTATGAAGGGAATAATGAAAGTGGACGAAGCAAAACAAGTATGTAAGGATCGTAGCAAGTGGAAAGAACTGGTCTCTGCCTACCCCTACGGGAAAGAGGCGTGATTATATGAATGTATGTATGTACAATGAAATCAAAAATTATGTTATTATCTACTTACAAACTGACTTTTCTAATATTAATATATATTTTGTTATAGCTACAAACTTTATCTCTTAACTTTTAAATTAACTTTATTTTTAAACTTTGTCTCAATTAAGATAAACATTTTCCTTAGAAGTCATGAAATCATTAAAAAAGAAATTTCGACTTATAATGATAAATAATTTAAATAATAAATACTTGATAATGTATGTAAGGATTATCACAATTCAATGTAACAATCTTAAAACTACGTAAATTAAAAAGTGTTTAATAATATAATTTTCAGATACATTTTAATTGTATTCATAATAGAACATTTTGTAAGTTATGTTGGAATTAGGTATGGTCGTACGTTGTTATCGCGAACGTTCTCATGAACATACTTTGGAATTTAAAACAAGAGTGTCACAAATCGCTTACGCAGCTGGGATACAACTTGTATTTTTAACCGACTTCGAAAAGGTGGAGATTCTCAATTCGAGTTTATGTTTTTTGTACAGATTATTACAAAAAAAAAACATACACTCTCTCTTCCTACACTCTCATAGTTGATGGGACGGTCATCTGACACAATCGGAGAGAGATCAGGCGCAGGACCAACCGAGGCACGGGGGTGAAACACCTTTTAATTTCTGAGTCCCGGCTGCAATTGAGGATTTATTGACAGAATAACCAACAACTATGGTCCGATCCGGGATTCACTCCCAGTTTCTCATAATTGACTGTCACGGTTACGATCACGAGACCAATGAGGCAGTCACGCGAATACTACACATTGATTAGAGCTAACATTACGGATTTCATCGATTTCTATTTTAACTTATTTAGATTGATACCTTATTTAAAGCCAATTTTGTATCCTGTGCCACCCCTGCTGTTATTATGGATATATTATTATTTCAAACTAGCTGTTCTCCGCGACTTCATCCGCGTGTAATTTAGGGTTTTAATTATGTTGCGTGAAACTCTAATTCTTTTTCTAAAATAAAAGTAGCCTAAGTTACTCCTTATAACATCAGCTATCTGCCAGTGGGTCCCGTCGAAATCGGTTCAGCCATTTCGGAGATTAGCCGGAACAAACATACAGACAGACAGACAAAAATTTTAAAAATTGTATTTTTGTTATAAGTATCGTATATACTTTCACATGCATTTAGTAAAATGCTGGTATTTTGACATTACAAACAGAAACTTCAATTTTATTTATTTGTATAGATAATAATAATGGAAGCATTCATATCAAATGATTCATTGCCATAATCAAATATGCTTGCTTAAAAGTATTCGTTTACATAACTCTCTATGAGTCACTCTTTAAAATGTGCAAAGTGTGTTTGCTTGCAATAAACACATGTCAGCTTTAGCTGTAATATGAACCCAGAACAGGAATATGTTATGAAGAATAATCATGACAGTCTAAAAACATTTCTTTAGTTATTTATAACAGTAAATATGATATGGTTAGATTAACATTTATTTACATAAAGAATATTTTGTTTCTTTTTGACTATTGTGCCTGCGAATTTCGAATGGTTCTATGTAAATCCACCTACCAGCTTCATTCCTTTCTTTCATCATCTTCTGCCGTGTGGTGGTGTCGTGTGAGAATCCATAACCCCATTTCGTGCTGTGAGTATCGTAAGAGATCAGACCCATGGTTCCATGGGTTGTTGCAATCAATTATTATCAGTTATCACACAGGGTATTTATATTTTTTATTTATTTATTTATTATTTTATACTGTTCATGTCATCGTAATAAGAAATACAGTGTATTTCTTCTATCTATTATGACAGGTTACTATTTTGTAAACAGAAATGAAGGTTTGAAATTATTTTTTAATTAAATAAATTAGGACTGGTGGTTGTACTACGTAGATAAGGGACAAATTTACCAACCAAAGGTTATGAATATGAATCAATGCTTATCTCTTATTACATTGTGCATTGCATACTGTTATGATAATATACGGCTTGCATATCTGCAAACAAGATTGTCTCTAAGCAATGTTATTACTGTCATGGGAAGTAACAAATACTGTTGTTCTTTTATGCAGGAAATACCAAGTATTTAGGTATGCATACTAAACCTATGAAATATCAATCTGCATTAAAGGAGATTTATAATATATATCATCAATCACGACTTTATTTTGTTCAAACTTAATTTTGTTCTATCTTAAAATTTCATACATTATTATATTCATTTAAAAATTAAAAGAATTTTTTTTTATTTAAAAACCCGGTTTACAGTCGAGATATATACACAAGTCTGTCCTATAAATAAAGGAGATCCTATAATTATCACACTTCGTAGGCATATTAACCATTACAGTACAAAATATCTTACTGTTTTGAAAGCGATAGGACAATGAGTTTTCTCACACAATTGTAATCACTATAATCTTATAACATTTTCTTGCAATATGTTTGAATGATAATTATATTTAAATTAAACTTTATTGTTTTATTTCTTCTAGTCAAAAAGATATTAATGATGAGAATTTTATTAGTGTGGAGGGAAAATCGGAAGTGGTGGTCCAACATTTTGACAATCCAGTGGATGGCAAAAACCATCCACAAATGTAAAGCAGGATTACTTGTGAGCTGTGTTAGAGTGGATGTTGGTTTTATGCACCCTAACATGCTCCACGAAAATACTAAAAAATGAATACAAACAGGTCCATTTGTGTAGTGGTCAATGTCCAATAAATTTTTAAAGACCGCAAAATATTTTATAGCAATGTGCTGACGGTGTTAATGAATCCATTACTCCATTTTGTCCACTGCACATGTCTTCTTATAGATAGAGATATTAAACCACTTTGTTTATGCCAGAGGTAAAACATAAAGATACATAGAGAGCCGTGAAAATATGAAAGACATTTTTTTTAATAGGAGAGGGGGCAAACGAGCATGCGGCTCACCTGATGGTAAATGACTACCGCCGCCCATGAACAACTGCAAGACCAGGGGAACCAAGGTAATTGCAGCTTCGTTGCCGGCCTTTTAAAAAGGAGTAGGCTCTTTTTTTTAAGGTCCCTAAGTTGTATCGGTCCGGAAAATTCGCTGGTGGTAATCGATTCCACAAGGAAGTTGTGCGAGGAAGAAAACATAGTGGTGAACTGCCAATCATCCAGATGGTGTGGATGGTATCGGGAGTTCTGCCGCGATATGCGTTCGTGAAATTTGGCGGCTGGGATTAATCCGAACAATTCCTCAGAGCACTTCCCGTGGTAAATGCGAAAGAAAATGCAAAGCGATGCAACATCTCTTCGCAACGCTAATGAATCTAGCCGGTCGGAAAGGCTCGAGTCGTCGACGATTCGAACCGCTCTGCGCTGGATGCGGTCAAGTGAAAGGAGCTGGCACTGGGGAGCCCCTGCCCAGAGATGGGAACAGTATTTCATGTGCGGCCGCACCTGCGCCTTATAAAGTTGCAGGCGTTGTGCCGGTGCCGGCACAGTGTTGCAATTACCAATCCACCTGCCAAGGTGGTGATCATGGGAAAGACCTATGTTCAGCTGTGGACGTAATAATATAATACTATACACCATACTACTTCTGAAGACATTATTTTATAACACAATAATTCAACTTACTTATTCCAGCCCACTCTCTAGTAATTATTTGTCGATTTAAAAATGTCATAGAGAACACTGCAACAAAAAGGATGATGGATCCTCTAAACATTTGGAAACTGCTTGCATAAGTGAGAGTAAGGCCTATATACATGATTGACGTACCAATCTGTAATTAAAATTAAGTTTAACTATTATTTTTAATTTCATCATTTATATTGGCATTATAATTTACAATGAACATGTATTAATTCAGAATAATACACTATATACAGATTAATACAAAATGTAATAAGCTAAGCTAAATGCTCACCAAGTCAAACATTGCAGCCGGCATTAATATAAAAGGATTAAAATTCTGGTTGCCATGTGTCAAACTATGTCCGCCCGTATTTCTTGTTTTAAAATACACCATCTTAAAAGTCACTAAGCACATTATTTCCCCTAAGAACATTGTCGCTGCCTGCAATATCAAAGTCATGCCAAAATATTAATAATTAAACCTTTAATAAAAATTGTTTTTATAGAATCAGGGTGCCAAGCAAGCACACAGTCCACCTGATGGTAAAAGGCTGCTGCGATCCATAGACATCTACATCTATTCTCAATTACGAATCCAAATGCAGATGTGTTGTCCCCCATGAGGACTAAGATGGAATGCATTTCCAGTAAAAAGAGTCTCAGGTTCTTTACACTCACCATATAAAACACAGCAGCACTAAGCTGCTATTTTACACGGTATTCTATGAGAGCATGGTCTTTGCTACAACTAATATAGCTGCAGCAATATATATAAATACTTAAAAAAATAGAATATTTTCTACATAGCTTCTGAAATTGGCACTAAGAAATAGTGTACCAAAGAATGAAAACCCCAACTTTAGAACCTATTATGTGGAAACCACCATCCATCGGTTTGGCACAAACTCCTTCTTTCAATGCTTCATTAAAAATTATTTGATACTAGTTAATAATTCCTCAAGAAGCCCATGTTATAATTACGGGGCACCAGTTTTCTTTCAGATCAGAGCATTAAAATCATAGTTGACGGTGCAAGTTCCGATTCCAAGCCTGTGAGTGCTGGTGTTCCACAAGGATGTGTGGTATCACCTACCCTGTTTCTACTATTAACTTATCTCAGGAACACGCTGTCTAGTGCCGGAACAAACTTATGTCTGGAGTCAAGTTTTTGTTCAACCATTGATCTGAGTTTTTAGCTCTAAAAAAATAAGTTTGCAAGTTTACTGCTAATAGGAACCCCTTTGTCTTATCTCCTCAATTTCAGGACATTTCTCTTACTGCTTCAGCCAGCATATGAATCATTAACATTTTGAGAGATGTATAGTTCTGCAGTCACTTAAAAGAGAAGTCTAAACTGGCTTCTAAAAAGCTCAATGTGCTTGGTGGATCAAGACAGTACTTCAAAAAGCGCAGTTTCGACCTCATAAGGAATACTGTTCTCATATCTAGAAAGGAGCACCACAGTGTCAGCTCCTTTTACTTGACTGCATTCAATGGAGAGTAGCCCGAATTGTCTACGACCAAATTCTTTCTAATCAATTTGATTCACTGACCCTGCGAAGAGACGTTGCCAACCAATACAACTTAGAGACAAAGAAAAAAATTTTGAAAGATATGCAAAGACAGTCAACATGGACTGAAGTAGTGCAGCAGATAGGAATAGCATATAATAGATGGAGTACCATAACCCTCTCAGAATTGAGATTGCTATGCCCAGCAGCAGGACATATATAATATGTAGAATGTAACTTTACTGATTTAGAAAAATTAAATTATTTAAGAACTAGTACCTATGTAGCTTAATGTGTTAAATCACATATTTTAATGAAAGCCTATAAGTAAAACACAATAATGAAAAGAAAAAAAATATATTTTTATATTATAATCTTCTATTATTGTAATAATAATTTTGCTACCTTTATATTTAATATATACACAGAAATGAACTAAGCTATTTTCAGCATTTAATAAAGAATATTTTCTAACTACTAGTAAAACCAAACAAATATAGAAAAGTCATAATTTAAATAGTTTTGAAAAATATTACAACATAGGTGGATCACCAGCTGATTAGTGACCGCCAATACGGTTTTCGTCGGGGTCGATCAGCTGGTGATCTTCTGGTCTACCTGACCCATAGATGGGCGAAGGCAGTAGAGTCCAAGGGGGAGGCGTTGGCCGTTAGTCTGGACATTGCGAAGGCCTTTGATCGGGTTTGGCACAAAGCGCTTCTTTCGAAGCTGCCTTCCTATGGGCTTCCCGAGAAATTGTGCAATTGGATCACCAGCTTTCTTGCAGATCGGAGCATCAAGGTCGTTGTAGACGGTGCATGTTCTGACTACAAGCCTATTAACGCTGGTGTTCCACAAGGCTGTGTGCTATCACCAACGCTGTTTCTTCTGCATATCAATGATATGTTGCTAACTGGTAACATTCATTGCTATGCGGATGACAGCACTGGTGATGCTCTATACACCGGCCGGGCCAATATTTCTCGGGAAAACGTCGCCGAGTACCGGAACAAACTTGTGTCTGAAGTCGAGTCTTTGCTGGACAAAGTCTCGGATTGGGGGCGACTAAATCTAGTCCAGTTTAATCCTCAGAAGACACAAGTTTGCGCGTTTACCGCTAAAAAGAACCCCTTTGTCGTATCTCCTCAGTTTCAAGGCACTCCCCTTCTTGCCTCAGCCAGTATCGGTATCCTCGGAGTCGACATATCGAGTGACGTGCAGTTTCGTGGTCACTTGGAAGAGAAGGCCAAATTGGCCTCTAAAAAGCTTGGCGTGCTCAGCAGAGCGGGACAGTATTTCATGCCGGCACACCGCCTGCAACTTTACAAGGCGCAGGTTCGGCCTCACATGGAATACTGTTCCCATCTCTGGGCAGGGGCTCCCCAGTGCCAGCTCCTTCCACTTGACCGCATCCAGCGCAGAGCGGCTCGAATCGTCGACGACCGAGCCCTTTCCGATCGGCTCGATTCATTGGCACTGCGAAGAGATGTTGCATCTCTTTGCATTTTCTTTCGCATCTACCATGGGGAGTGCTCTGAGGAATTGTTCGGATTAATCCCAGCCGCCAAATTTCACGAACGCACATCGCGGCAGAACTCCCGATACCATCCACACCATCTGGATGATTGGCGGTCCACCACTGTGCGATTTAGAAGATGTTTTCTTCCTCGCACAACTTCCTTGTGGAATAGTTTACCACCAGGGATTTTTCCGGACCGATACGACTTAGGGACCTTCAAGAAAAGAGCCTACTCCTTTTTAAAAGGCCGGCAACGCATCTGCAATTCCCCTGGTGTTGCGGTTGTTCATGGGCGGCGGTAGTCACTTACCATCAGGTGAGCCGCATGCTCGTTTGCCCCCTCTCCTATAAAAAAAAAAATAGGTAACCCCTCAACAGCAAACGCCATTGTGGCTACGAACTACTCCTCGGACCAAAAGTTTCATATTTTACTTAGTTCATGTTTTCCTGTATTATACAAAAGAAAACTATAAGAAAATCATTTTTCTCAGCTAAGTTTACATTATAATATAACATTGGTGCTAAAAATGAAGTAATAAACTTGTTTATATATGAGGGTAACCAATTTTCATTAAAAAAAAGATGTATATTTAAAACGCAACAAAAGCTAATGAGAACAGAAAACTATGTGCAAATATTAAAGACAATTTATATTCCTCGATACTCTGATGTTTTTAGCAGATAATAAACAAAAAACATTAAATACTAGATAAAATGAACAAGCGCTGATTTGGGGAGATATAATTGTCATTTTCAACTGGCAATATTTTCAAATTCGTCAGCGAATTACAGATCAAAAATTATTTGTTTAACAGGTTATGAAACCAGCAACACAGTGAATTAATCAACATCCGCGGTGGCTGTATGAACAGTCCAGCGTCAAGCCATCCCAGCTGTTTTTACTGTTGAGGGGATATTATACTTATTTATGAAAAAAATATTTTAAATTAAAAATTCCAACAATACCTGAAGAAATGGATGATTAAAAGCTCTGATTTCTCCATTAGATCCTTTTGACTCCAATTTATCAGCCCACTTAGTGCTCAGAGTGTTAATTGAGCCTGTAATAACCATCATTATTGCAAGAAACTTTTGATACCCCGTCCAAGCCATAGTTTTATATCTAAAATATGCAAGAAAATAAAATTAATAACAATACAATTCATTTCTTTATAAAGATACAAAAATAATAATATGAACGCAAACGCAAAGCAAACTTGTGCAACTAAATTCAATTTAGCCTCATGGACAGAAAAATAGTACTTTTTTCTGTCCATGCAGGCAAAACGCCAGCAACCAAATTAAAGGAAAAGAAAAGAAACACTATAGAAGCAATTCGCGCTAACGAACAACAAAGAAGCTTCTTATTATCTAAAATAAAAAAGTTGTAAAAGCATTTGTCGTGGTGTCCTATAATAAACAATAAATAAATAGAGTAATTTGTTAATATTACTATTGTAACAAGAAGGAATCACATAAGAATATACACCAACATACATTAATATAAGTGGACGTAATCATGTACTCAAAGATCAAAGTGTCTGCATGAAATGATAAAATAAAATAATTTGCATAAATAATATAATTAGTTTATTTAAACCAACTCATCCTGTAATTTATAATTTATGAAAATAATGCAATTTTATTATGATAAATGTTGAACCTACTATTCTTCAAATCCTTGTTGCCTCAAATCACACACTATCATATCACCTCTTCTTTATAATTTGTGACCACAAAGCAAACTATAAAGAAACACTAGGTACGCGTTTGTTCGTTCGTTCGTTCCTGGTATATACACAGAACACTATTACTCCTACGGAGGGTATATAGGTGTTATCTATGTTTGTGCCTGTCACTAGCTATCACTAGCTATATCTAGGCATGGGTAAAAAATATCGATATATCGAAATATCGACATTTTTTAATAAATATATCGATATAAATCGTCGATATTTGAAATCGGCATATATCGACGTATCGATATTTATTTTAGAGTATCGAATACGTATCGATGAAAAACGATATATATTTTAAAATATTGTATCGTTAGTTTCTTTGTCCAACCGTCAGTAGATAAAATTTTGGACTTTATCTTTACATCATTCAAATGATGACGATATATCGATATTAATCACGCGATATATATCGATACTGTTTAAAAATATAGTATATATATATATATTTCTACTGGAGCATTTGTACCAGGTAGACATAAAATATATTCGATTAAACTACAAGAGAATTTATGTTGAGAATGTTGGTGAGGAATGTATGAATCACCCAACGAATTTCTGCGAAAACTTTGAAATTATCCCATTCGGTTATTTTTTGGTCAGTCCCGTTCTCGCACCGTTCGTGTCTGACGAACTTCATAGTATTAAATTTTCTCGCGGTTTAGGACAACGGGACTATTTTGCGTCCCGGAGCTTTGCTTGGGGACAACGGGACAGGTGACCGAGAAAAGGGACAGTCCCGTTCAAAATGTGACGTATGGTCACTTTACGTTAATATTCCTTGAATTTCAAGCAAGATGAACGTTGACGCTGCTACTCTATATTTGATGAGTGTAAATTTTTATTATATGAATGTATTTTATCATTGCCTAAGCATGGCTCTGTTTGCAGAATCTCAAGAAACGTAATAACTTTTTCATTATTCCACTCCATCGTAGCCATACGTGCAACCCCGTTGCGCTCACCGTGCACAATGAGACAAACGTAGTGTGGCCTCTTCAACGCGTTAATTCATGCGTTAATATCTTTGATGTACCGCCACTCGAGTTATCGCTCAACGGCAAACGGCATTGTTCTTGCCGTTGTAGAATTATCGCGTTAAGTGGTGGCCACACCTACATTCAACGCACATCAACGCGATAATTAACGGCATTTCTCGTTAGTGTAGCCCGGGCATGAAACTGAAATGACGTTGACCGACCCAAGTGTGGCCACTCAGTTTATCGCGCTGAAATTAAGGCAATAATTGTTGCATTTATGAGCATTGACATTTTTCGCTACTGTGGCCCCAGCATGAGAATTTAATTTATAACGTATAGACAGTTAAGACCGCTTTTCACTATGGGATATAATATAATATATATTACACTCGAAATTAATATCGCTCAACATACTTTTAAATGGATCCGTTTACATTGAGCTATAATATAATAATAATAATAATAATTCATTTATTTCAGACCAATTATCCATATTTGTTAAAAAATTATAATCTAAATACCTATAACATTAAAGAAAATTAATTATTTATTAGTTTCAAATATCTCTGTTTTGTCTTTCAACTTCGCCGATCATTTGAGGCCATTATGGTACAGTATAAATATTTTTTCGATCGACCGAGCGATATTTTCATAGAATTATTACCCAGTAGAAACGCAGTTTTCGGTTTATACAAAGGTACTCTGTGAAACGCAGTCTAGTACAAAACACGAGCGTAAGGCTGGCTTTTCACTATGGGATATAATATATATTATATCCCGAAATATAAATTTTATCCCGCGATTGACTTTCACATTGTGAGATATATCTTCTAACTAGTGTGTGTTCGTCATTGGTCATTGGATTACCCCCCTTTACACCGTACACCTTTCTGCGGGGGCGTGGAACGATGTGCGGGGTAAAGGGGGCGAAATATAATATGAAAATATGTCTCGGTTGATCGAAAAAATATTTATAGCTTGAGATGTAATATATATTATAGCTCAGTGTAAACGGTTCCATATGAAATGTATGGTGAGCGATATAAATTTATATCTCGAGATGTAATATATATTATATTATATCCCATAGTGAAAAGCGGGCTTTAAAGTGACACAAGGTCATTATGTTAGTGGGCGCGAGTCGAATGTGCCTACGCTCGTCACACGCAACATGCACGCCATTCAGTGATACCAATTTCTAGCGTTTGCAATCAAATTGTGCAAATCACTATTTTATTGATTAATTTAAAATAATCAATATAATAAAGATTACGTACTAAGACGTATTTTATGAGAATATAAAATGGAATAAAATAAACACGATAATGATGGTACTAACATACCTTTATTATACATATTGAAAAGGTACAAAAATGCAGACGTAATAAAATTTAAGAATATTACTAAACACAATTAATTTGCTCGGATACAATAAGCACATCGTGTAGTGTTTAATTTTAACCGACTTCAAAAAAGAAGGAGGTTCTCAATTCGGTGTATTTTTTAATTTTTTTACCTCAGAATTCTATAATTTCTAAACCGATTTAAATTTTTTTATTTGAAAGGATATACACACAGATTGATCCATAATACACGCTGAAATTTTAATGGTTGTCTTCCCGAAGTTAAATGATTTTGTCTTGTTAGTACAATAGATTTATTAAAATAGAAAATTATTAGGATGCAAAAATGGCAGATTTACAATCGAGAAAAACAAAACTCGAATGCGATCTTCAGCCAATAGCAATATCTCGCAAGTAGGTCGGGTGTGCAAGCTAGCTTATGCCGTATTACTATAATAAAGTCTGAAAAAAAATTAATTCGCTGGACGTAACGTAGTGTCGACGTCTATCGCACGCGCTACCGCGCGCTGCTACACAGTGAAGGGCCACAAATAAATGTTCAGAGCATGAACTCTCAAGCGTAGTGATACGAGATAAACTAGACTGGACGCCCGACTAGCTCGTGAGGTATTACTATTGTAAATCCGCCCTTTTTTAATTGTAATATTTTTTTTTATTTTAATAGATTGTCTCTACTATCGACACAGTATAATTTGGCTGCGGGAAAACAACCACTAAAATTTCAGCATATATTTACGAATTGATCTAGAATCGTCTTAGAAATTAGTGTAAATGCATAATTGATAACCTTTTAAGGAATAACTTTTCATGTAATAATAACTTAAACTTGACATTTAATTGTAACAATTATAATGATAGAATTAATTTAATAGATATAAATAATTTAATTAAGAAATGTTTGACTAGAGATAAGTATTACCTATCAAAATATAATTTAAGACAGATAGCAAATGTGCTATCTTATTATTTATATATTAACTCAGCCAAGGACTTGGCTACACAGACATCTGCTTCTTTTGAGCAGTGTAATGACTTAATATGCAATTTGGAATCAGTTCCAAGTAATTTAAATTAGAAAATGAGACAATAGAGGTAATCTCTAGCAGTTATAATAACTTAAATAATTTAGAATGTGGCTTACAAATCTTTAATTGTATGACTCCACAGAAAGATAATGAAAATTGTTTACACCTGGTGCATCAAAATATACAAGGCATGATAGGAAAAGAGCTAGAAATTGAGTTGTTCTTAAATAGCAACAATATTCATATTTTATGTATTACTGAACATTGGTTAAAAGCTTATAATTTAATGTTTAACTTCAGTAATCACCAGATGGTCAGTTCTTTCAATAGAGATACGGTTTTAAGAGGTGGCTCCTTAATATTAGCTAGTAAGTTATTATCATGTAAAGAGCGTAAAGACATTGTGAGCCTCTCTGTTGAGAGAACTGTAGAAATGGCATGTGTTGAGTTTGAGCACCTCATTGTTGTGAGCGTCTACAGACCCCCATGTTGTACATATGATACTTTTGAAAACATTATGGAGGAAGTTTTTGCTAAACTTAATAAACAGAATAAATCTGTTGTAATATGTGGAGATTTTAATATCAATCTCCTAGAAGCTTCCTCAATCAATATTAAATTTAGATCATTGTTTAAGTCATATGGTCTTTTTAATTTATTTATAGAGCCAACGCGTATTTCTCAATCTAGTGCAACATGTATAGATAACATTTTTACAAATGTGAAGCCGTTGCATAAATGTATAATTCAAAAATTAAGTTCTGATCACTGTGGACAAGTAGTTTCGTTACCTTATGTTCACAAAAAGCAAGTAGATGAGAAAGTTGTGTCTGTTCCAGTAAATGCACGTCGCTTGGAGAAATTTAGAAGTAACATAGTGAAAAAACTTCCATCACGTTCATACCAAAATGATCCTAATTTTTTGTATGGAACATTATTTAAGCTTATTTGCAATGAATTTAATAATACTTTTACTTCTAAAACATTCTCATTGAACAGTCGGAAGTCATTCAATGAATGGGCGACAGTAAGAGTTCATAAGAGCAGGCATAGGTTATATGATCTTTACCATGAAAGGTCATATAATCATAGCGTCGAATTTAGGGAATATGTAAAAAAATATTCAAAAGTATTTAAAAGAGTGTGCTCCATAGCCAAGTCTTTGCATTTGAGCAACAAAATTGAGACGGCTTCCAATAAAATTAAAATGACATGGAGTATAATTAATAGCGAAACTGGTAAGATCAACTCTCGCAATTCAAATTACCAGTTAAGTGTTAACAACAAATTAACTGTATCAGATTAGGACATAGCAATGGTTTTTGAGAAATATTTTACTGATATTCCGATCTTGACCACTAAGTCACTGAATTCTTCTCCTGCCGTCGCCGAATCATTACTTAAACAAAATGTAAATGTGTGTACAAAGAATTTTACATTTCATAAAGTGTCATCAAAAGATATTGTAAAATATTTTAAAACTATTGATGTTAAGAAAACTGCGGATCTGTGGGGGATTTCCGTTAAAGTTATTGCGTCTATAATAGATACAATCGCGCCTCATTTAGCTATTATTTTTAATACTAGTATCGAATCTGGTGTTTCCTGATTTAATGAAGCATAGTAAAGTAATACCTTTATTTAAATCTGGTAGTACATTAGACCCCGCCAATTTTAAACCTATTTCTGTACTACCAACACTTAGTA